CTTCCCCCTCTCATGCTCTCTCTTTCTATCTCATTCTCTCTCTCAAATAAATAAATAAAATCTTTAAAAAAAAAAAAAAACACTTTTGGGCAGTCAGCTTGGAGATGGGTCTGTGCAACATGTTTGTTTTTTCCTCCCTCCTTTCCCCTTCTCTCCTTCCCTCCCTCCCTCCTGAACTTTCTGTTTTATAATTCTCTGCTGATAAATTACAAGAGTATCAGAAACATGCTGAAGATATCTATTAAAGGACATGTTCCTCTCTTTTCTTTTATAAAGGAGTATTACAGAAGGAAAATACTAGCTTTATCAGCACATAGTAGATCTGTTTCTAAAATACTTTTCACTCTTTTTATTTACTTTTATTCCTCAAGGTGAAGTTGCCGCAAGTAATGTTACATTTGAATGAACAGGCTTGTAATTCAATTGGGTTTATCTCCTGTTACAAACTCCATAGTTTTTTGTGATAGAGCTATCTGTTTTTAAAATTGTGTGTGTACATATACTTGGAACTGTATGTGTATATTAATGCAGTCTGGTCTGGAAAGCATTAGAATTGGTAAAAGCTTGGGTTTAATGCCTCCTGAGACTTGGAACAAAGAGCAGTTTTGTGCAGAAGCTTCATCTTCGCTAAATGTAGCCTTACTCCTGCTAAACCAATAATGGATGGATTTGGATCTTAACACATGAGATAATACAATTTTTTTTTTTTTAAGGTAAATGCCTTTGGGTGTTGAAGTGATAGGGCCTCCCAGCTAGCTGTTCTTAGGTTATTTCTTTTTGGGAGACTATGTTGAAAGGCAGTTGGGTTGCAAAATGGGAGAAGCAAAGTCCATAGAAGATCTTTGTCAGCCTGTTTGCAATAGATCAAGTTGTTAAAGAGGAGAAACTTAAAAACGTCTTTGTCCTTGTGATTTCAGGAGTGATTACTGTTCTAAAGTGGACATTGGAGAGGATCCATTAGGCCATGTAAGTACTGAAGTAAGCAGATATCCATGTGGCTTAGCACAGACCCAAAATATTTGCCCTTGGGAGGGAGAAGATCCAGTAGCTGAGTCAGATGTTAACATTTGGAAGTGTCAAAATACAGACCCCTAGTCCCAAAGGGCTGAGGGGTGGCTCTCCCAGTGCCACCCTAATCCTCAGGGGACATCTCCGGCTATCTGGTGAAGGCCTGGTGGAGTTTAATCTCTTGGGATAATTGGGCAAGGATATTTTGTCTGTCTAGAATTAGTAAAGTGACTGGAGCAGAAGGCCATTGATTGCTTTATTCCATCATGATCAAACACGACTTTATTTAGCGTGATACCCTTCCATAGAATGGCTGGTTCCTTCAGAGCAGCCCAACCCAAATCTGACACAGAGGATCATGATGTGAATATAAGTAAAACCGATGAATTGAAGAGTGTGATTGCTAAAGACCGCACAATCTCAGAACTGTGTATCAAGGAACTCAAGAAGTACACTTTCCTAAGTCCTCAGTTATGAACGTATTTTATGGAGGAAGAAATTTGCTAAGTGCTTCCTTATTTGAACCATCTGAATAGTCTGTAGCACTTAAAATCACTGCCCAGGCTACCCTTGAGAGTTACCTTGGTAAATGAGTTGTTAACTGGGAGCAGAGTATCCAGATTTCACAGCCTGCTAGGATTTGGGTGTCAAGGTTATGGGGCTAACAGAATGAAACTTTAAACATTCCTAATTCCTGTTTCTTTTATGTATGTGGGTCTTTGAACAAACTTTGTAATAACATCACAGGAAAAAAATACGGGGGGGGATATCCTACCCCAGCAACTCACAAGCAGACAAATGACTGATATAAATAAAAGCCTTAATGTTAGAGCTAGAAAATCATGTGACCATGTGACTTTTATCGGTGGCTTCTCTCTAGCTGTCACCTTGAGAGTTTGTCCTGCTGGGAGAAACCAGAGAAACAAGAAGTGTCTCCTTCAGAACCGCAAAGGGATTTTGAATTTCTGAGGATGTGGGATTTTGTCTAAGATGGAAAAGGCGTATTTAATCCAGCCCCCCACCCCCCCACCGTATATCACTTAATTGGAATGGGACTTCATCTCAGGGACTGCACAACCGAACAGTGTATCTTCAGGAGTCTGTTTTGGCAGTTAGTTCACTGTTGACAGATAGGGCAAGTTCATGCACTGCCCACTGAGATTTGCCAAGCGCAGCAGCTGGGGGTAGCAGGCTGACATCGCGGAGACCTGGACCTGGGTCTGCGGTCCCTGATACCCAGCTGCCGTGGCTTACACTGTGGGAAGGATCAGCATCTTTCTTTCTGCCTTTCCTTGGGCTGTGATTTTTTTTTTTTTTTTTAAATGTCCGTGTCTGCCCCTGCCTCCTGCTCTCAGTTCTGCACTGTGTGGGGTTGACAGCTTTCCTGGAGCAGGCAGACGCGTTGGCATAGTGTGGCACTCCTGGGCTATGTCTATCTGCCACCAAATATGTTGTCACCTTCCCTCTTGAGCTTGCCATATCTAGCTGCCTTTGCAGGGGCCTCTTGGCTCCTTTGGGAATAACTACTGAAGGAGCAGCTGTCTGTCAGCCTCCTCCAGAGCCGTCGAATTGGGCTATTGTCAACCTGTTGTTGGAGGAGTTCCCAACACGGCAGACTTGGCTGTCATTGACATTTATAACTTGAAAGCCATATCACAGACGAGTTTGCTTTCCTGATAATCCCTTAACTAGCCTTCAGAACCTGCAGCCCGTGGCCTTCATACACTGGGGCAACCCCCAGGAGTGCAGAAATAGTTGGGTCTTCCTGGAGGGGGAGGGGAAGCAGGTCACCATTCTCCCTGCAGCATCTCCTTTCTGACTTAAGTAGGAGGAACTGGTCCTGCCTTTGTGCCTAGGTTCTGTGTGACCATAGGTGTCCATTTAGGTCAGGATAATTGTCTCCTAAAGACAAATGACTCTTGAACTCTGATTACCACAGAGCCTGTGATCAGAGAGGAATACTGATGTCAGAAAAGGTTTCTTGAAGGGGTTGGTAGATCCCATTCCTGGTTTTTTGGTTTTTGGTGTTTTTTTTTTTTTTTTTTACACCCTCATTTTTCAAAGAACCAGTTTCTAACTTTGATTTCTTGAGACATGACCAGAAGAGAAAGATGCAGTGTTGGTGGTAAAAATAAAACCAGAGCCACACCAGTAAATCTCGTGAACACATATTGCCAGAGAAAGCCCAGAGTGGAATCAGGATGGCTTTTACTTCTTGTGGGTCTATTTAGAGTGTAAATTCCTTGAGGGTTAGGACTGGCCTTCTTGGTCTTCATACCACCAGTAGCTAGCGCAGAACCTGGCTCGTGGCCCCACGGTGAGCTGAGTAAATGAGTGTAAAGAAGGAAAGATTTTAGGTAGAAAACGTTTCTTTTCTTTTTTTTTTTTTTAACCCAGTAGTACAGACATTGAAATATGTTAATCATCAATTCCAGATTATGGGATTTAAAGTTAATGATGTTTTCCTGTTGGCATCAAAGATGAGTCATCTTGGAAGAGGCAGGGGCTTCGATGGCAGGCGTGAGATGTGATTAAAATGAAACACCTTCACTGCCTGGGCTCAGATTTCTTTCTGTGGTCCACCGGACGTTCGTCATGTCTTAGGAAATGTCAGTGCCTGACCTTGGCTGTGTGCTGCGCAGCTGAGTCCCATGTGTAGTTTGCTAGCTCGCCTGGAGTGGGGCGGGAACGGGCTCTTGAGCCAGCTTGATGGGGCTGCAGGCCTTGGGAAGATGGTTAACGGAGGAATGTGTGTCACCTGCCCAGCCCTTTGCCTGTGGTGCACGTGGGCATCTCATTCCTCTTTCTCTGAACCCAGCAGGTGCCCCAGAGCCTGGAGGACTGCATGTGGGATAGCCACTGCCCAGTACCGATGAATGGGCATGGCGGACGAAACCCTGCTTCCCTCCTGGCCGGAGGGAAGGGGGAGGGGGGCTGCGGGGACAGAGGTCAGGGCTGTGGCCAGCCACGTGTCTCGTCACCAGGCCACACTTGGAGGAGCAGAGCCCTTGTCTTCACAAGACATGCCTGGCTTTGACTGAATCTAATCAGAATTCCCGGTTCATGGCAAGAGGTTTCCATACAACAGCATGTATCTTTTCTCTGATTTTACTTGGAAAAAAATGGAATGGTGAAATATTTCAAGTATCCAGAGAAGTGCAGAGACTTAACTAAAATGCTCGCTCATTTACACTCCCCCCCGTCCCCATATCTCACGGGTCCCTTTCTGATGCTGCTGCTGACTCCTGTCTTTATTAACTGAAAGATGCTTATGTTGTCTTACGTTGAAGTTACCATACCTCTGTCCCTGGAAATTTTTTAAAATGGGGTCTGCCTGGAACCTATACTTACATAGAGCCCCACCGTTCCCACACTCTGAGGACGGTTGGTGCTCCCTGGATCTCCCCTTACCTGTGGTTTCCTTTTCATTCTGTTGTTCTGTCCTGGCCCTCCTTGCCATCAATCTGTTTTTCTCTCCATTCAGTTTCAAGGAGATGCTTATGTGCTTGCTTGCTTGCTTGCTTGCTTGCTTATTTATTTATTTATTTATTTATTTATTTATTTTAAGGATTTTATTTATCTGAGAGAGAGAGAGAGCACATGAGCAGGAGGAGGGGCAGAGGGAGAAGCAGACACCCCTGCTGAGCGGCGAGCCCCATGCGGGGCTCCATCCCAGGACCCCGAGGTCATGACCTGAGCTGAAGGCAGACACTTAAACAACTGAGCCACCCAGGTGCCCCAAGATGCGTATGTGTTTAAATCCCTCTCTGCAGCTAGTTCAGGACTCCCCTGTAATGGGCAATTCCGTTAGTCCTGCTCAGCACAGCTAATGCTGTCTCCACATCCTGTGCCCTTCCTATGACGAAGGCTGCTCACTTCATCAGACTTGGTGCCGCACGCAGAGGACTCACTCTGATAAGAGCTTCTCATTTCTCCCCAAGCCGGTATGCGGTTTCTCTGTGTATGTCGACCTCCCTAGAGGTGGGAGGCGAAGGCCATTTTATTTTGCCTCTCAGCCTTAGAGTGATGGATGGACACTTCGGGCAGGCTGAGACCCTCCCTCGGGTTAATTAACATGGGTAAGGCCCACTGACAGGTTTCTAGTCATTTATTCTCTTACCGTGGCCATTTTCTGGGACCAGAGTCCTGTGTTATTTTAGCTGTGTTGATGGATGACTGACCACTTAACTCTTCATTTTGATGTGAGCCTCATGATGGTTACAGAAGTCCATGGAGGCAGCTCATGCATCAGAAAGGCTGATGGGGAGTTTGCCACCATGTAGCTAATGAGATACCACCTTGAAATGGTGGGGGTGAGGGAGTTGCTGGGTCAGGAGGATGGAGGAGAACCCAGGTGAGGCAGGAAGGAGTGGGGAAGGTGGTGGAGGAACCTTGGGAATTTGGCTGAAGAGTTTGGGGATTCTGGGTGAATGGAGGAACAGAACAATTTTTTAAACTTCTAAACCATCATGGATTGGCACAATACAAATAAATGACTAGGAAGTGAAAAAAAAACAAAAAACAAAAAGCAACCAAGGAGGTCCAGAATACAAACCTTCAATTTTATTAGTGGATTCAAAGACAGAAAATTACCCTGTCACATTACCATAAAAGTTTCCAAAACACTTACCCTCAAGTTGGGTACTTATCCCCATAGATGAAACACTTCGTGGACTGGCCCCGCTCTGTGGACTGCCCTCCCCCTCTGCTTGGAGTAGCACTTACTGAGGAGATGTGGGTCTTTGCTCGGTGCCTTTTTTTTTTTTTTTTTAAGATTTGTTTATTTATTTGAAAGAGTGTGGGGGGAGGGGCAGAGGGAGAGCAGACTCCCCACTGAGCACAGAGCCTGATGTGGGGCTCGATTCCACCACCCCAAGATCATGACCGGAGCTGAAATCAAGAGTGACGCCCCACCAACTGAGTCACCCAGGCGCCCAGCTCTGTGCCTTTTATGCTGT